GTTCAACAAAATCTTTGATATGGGGCTACTTAAAAATATATTACCTTTGAAAAGATTTCCTTTGGAAGACAGAGTGGGTGCTTGGCAGCCGGTAAGCGGTCGACCAGATGATCAATTGACAAACATGTCAACATGCATAATTCACTGTACCAGCTCTCCTGGTACATGCAAAACACTGGTTTATTTTTGAAAAAGGATACATTTCTGAAAACTACTTTCATTCACACTATAGGATTTATGAATCGAGCCTTGTCAAACATAAGCTCTTTGCAATGAAGGGACAATTCTCTCTGGTCTGTCTGCCATGCATTTCTTTCAGTTTGGAATATTTGAAGATCTGGACTGGGTGTGTGACATAAGGAAGGAAAATAGATGTAGTTTATAGGAAACAACAGGACAGCCTGTTGAGAGTGGTTATATTTCATTGTGAGGATTGCATTTATACTTGCAAAAAAGCTATCACTGCTCTGCTAGAATACTATATTTGCACCATTTTTCCCACCTTTGTGAATGCCTTGATGGAAATAAAAGATTGTGTTTTTTCCCCCAGGGCAGATCTGTTTGCTATGTTACTAAATGTGTTGGGTAAAAGTTGGGCTGATGCCTCCCTCCTTACAGCTCTGAAGTCCCCATGGGGATGCAGGATGGATGCTGTAGTGCACCCACAGAGAAGAGTTGGCCCAAATAAAGTGTGAGTGTGATGTGACCTCCATGGATCTGTGGAGACACCCCCTTGTCAGGTATGAAGAATATTCCTTGCTGCTTTCTAACCCTACCGTGGAAGAGTACACTCATGAGTGCTTGCTTGGTAGGTTGGGCCCATTGGTTTAATTACTAAACAATTATACAAAAGCTGTCATCTTCTCTATTGAGCAAAAGAAGTAGATTTGTCCCAGCAAGGGCAAGGCTCCTAGATCTGAGAACTTGTGGAACTGAACTTGCCTTTCGTGGCTACCAGGAATTTACTCCCTATGGTAGAATCATAGACATGGGTTTTGGGGAAGGCCTGGTCTTCAGGAGGGATATAACTGAGTTGATGCTGTAAGCCTGGCAGCTTGAAGTGTGTTTAATTTCTTTTGTACGGAGTTTAACTCGCGGGTGAAGTTCGTGTGACGACCTAGTCCTTACTTCTTGCAACCCATTTGCTGTGGTGCCAGCTCAGCACTGCCTGACCTTTGAACTTCCTTGCCGTTCCTGCTCCCAGCTCCTTAGCTTTGGCAGCTCTCTCTGTCGACATGGTAGAAGGGACCTAGTTTCTCCCAATGGGCTCTGGTAGAAGGTGACTTAGAATTCCCATAGACTGTGGGTCACTGGGCCATATCAGCATATTTTCATTGATTCCTGGGTTTAGTGACAGTTGGGGCCTCACATGTATCACATGTTGGGATACATGGCAACTCATCCAGGCTTTCAGTGCATGAAAATGTCCTCTAGAGGGTTAAGAAGGTATCATCTATGGCTGATGGCAGGAACAATGAAAGCTGCTGTCCCCTGCCTCTGCTACCTGCAGCATAGCATGTGTGTGAGGGGTAGGCCCTGGACTCTCGGAGGCCCCCAGCATACATTTTCATGGGGCACAGCACAAGTTCATAGCTGGCTCTTCCAGGAAGTTGTCTAAGGTGCTGATCCTCTGTGTTATAGCATGTCACCTGGTTTCAGGCTGGTCACTTCTAGCTCTTACCACTGCAGTGGGACACCAGTGATTAATGAGCCCAGCCTAGCCTCACCTTGTACTGTTGGGCTCTTAGATGAGGGCGGCCTAGGCTGGTGATCTGCCTTTCCCTAGAATTATCAGGTTCATCTTTGCGTTTGGGTTCCAGAAACTACAACTTTTAAAAATCCTCTTGTGTTAGCATAGGACCTAACTAGACTCCCTAAATGCAGGTGACAGTGGGTGGATTGGGCAGTTTATGAGGCCACTGGCAGTGGGTGCAGGATCTATCCAAAACAGGCATTTTGGAGCCCATTTCCTATAGAGAGATACCTTGCTCAGCCTAGACCCAGCTGAGAGGGCCTTGGTCAGGCCTCATCATGGTGTTGGGACAGACTTCATTGACTCCGCATAGTCAATGAAGGAGGCCATATCCTTTCTAAGGAGTGGATCAGATTGGGGAGTGGGGTGAGGGAAATGCGTGGGGAACAGAATGAGGGGAGGGAGGGAAAACTGGGATTGGTATGTAAAATTAAAAATAAATTAAAAGACTGTCTTGTGTTATACCCACCTGGAAGGCTGAGTGAATGCTGTTTGCTAACCTGGTGATCTTCTGCTAGTTTAAGGAGCCAGCCTTCACCTGAATCCCCCCAAATCCCGAGCACAGCTTCTCAGTCAATAGAACCCACCCTTCCTTATGCATACTGCATACTGGTCCTCCCTAGGTCCAGCCTCCTAAGCAATGTTTCTCCATCAATAGAAGCCATTCTAGTAGAAAACTTGACAAGGGGCTTTGCTAAAGAGATTTTCTTTGTAAAGGAGTTTTGATATAGCCGTGCCTAAAGCTTGGCTGTCATAATTGTCATGAGGAAAAGTTTTTTCAAAGTTCTACTGTAAAAAAATGTATCACTTGGCACCAGACTTCGGAAGTTTGACCAAGCACTGGCTAACTAAATTGAGCTGAACTGAATTTCCTTCTTATCTCATCGGGATTGTTTCCCTGACAGCCATGATGCTTGCAGGGAGACCCCTGCTCCCCCAGTTTCATTCACTGTGCGATCCCACTAGCTGGGGCTCTGCCTTGTTTCATTAGATCTTCAGTATTCTTCCTATAAACCAGTGGTTCTCAACCTTCCTAATGCTGCCACCCTTTACTACCTCATGATGTGGTGACCCTCCCAGTCATTAAATTATTTCATTACTACTCCATAAGTGTAATTTCATTACTGTTAGAAGTCATAATGTAAAGATCTGATATTCAGGGTATCTGGTATATGACCCTCAAAGGGGTTGAGGCCCACAGGTTGAAAACACTGCTTTAAACCTTAGAACCATGGTCCCTAAGGCTACTCACATTTGAGTAAGCTCTCAGAGGTCACTGACATTGTTTGCTTCTGCTTGCTCAGTTGTGTTGTACTGGCCCAGCCCTGCCTGTTTGTTTCCCAAGCTGCCTGCCCAACTATTTAGGTACTGCCCTGAAGTCAACACAATACAACCACACTATCTATCGAACATGACAGGGATGAGTATGGTTCCTGTTGGTCATTTAATTGATGGTACTTCAGGTGGGTCTCTGAAGCCCAGCCACTCTCATTTTAATAAAGCAATAACTCAGGGGAGAGTCATGTGGTCAGAGTCACAAGCCTGGCCTCTAGGGAGAGAGGAGCAGGAGGGGCTGGAGGCTCCAGGACCGAGAATAACAAACATGTGCTTGAGCCCACAAACTATTTTAACAAAAAAGGATTTGAGGCCTATAATTTTCTCAAACTTAGAACATCAGCTTTGCAGCCAGTCTGGAAAGTTTGGCCTGCTTAGCTGTACCCGTGGGTGAGAATTCTTGTCTTTTAACAACCTACCGAGCAGGCATTGAATCACCCAATTACTGCAAAATTTAAATAGAAAATACTCCACAGCCCGGATGGAAGAATTCCAGGGTCTGCAGCAAGCATCTAGCTCTTTGGCAGAAGTAGGGTTTTTGGCATGAGTGGTGCTTCTTGGCTTTACTTCCAGCTCCAGCAGATGACCTAGGAATAAACTTGGCAAGAAGCTTGAGTGGAGAGGGGCATGTAAGAATGTGACATACCCTCCCTATCTTTGAGCTTCAGCCCTCACGGTGCAAAGAACAGGCCTCTTGTTTCAGAGGCTTGGTAGTGTTTGCTCAGACCAAGAAGCGTGTGGGTGTTTAACTGAGCCAGAGAATTTGATACACACAGGCCAAGGGTGACATGGCTGTCAGCGTGGGAGCTGGAAGCTTTGGAATTCATAGCATCGGCCTGAGCAGGGGATGCAGGGGTGGGTTGGAGAGCCTGGATGCTCTCATCTACTGCACTTTCTCATGTCAGGAGCAACTGTAAACAGCTTTTAATGGAGACTTCACTGTTGTGTTTGTTGAAACAAACCATGTGTGTTAGTTTCCCTTCTCACCTGTGGGACATAATATCTAGACAAGAGCCCCTTAAGGGAGGGAGAGTTTATTTTGGCTTATAGGTTAAGGAATGCAGTCCTTCATAGTCTTGGCAGGAATTGGAGGCTGCTGGTCACATTGCATACACAGTCAGGAAGCCCGAAAAAATGAATGCTGTTAAGTAGTTTTCTTTCTCTTTGTGCAGATCAGGATCCAACCCACCACGGAATGGTGCCAAACATAGTAGGGTGGGGCTTCCTACCTCAACCAATTCAACCTAGAAAATCCCTCACAGACATGACAGAAGGTTTGTCCTTTCAGTGGTTTTGGTCAAGTTGGCAACATTAACCATCATACATTTAACCTTAAAAAAAAAAAAAGCTTTTCCAACTGTTTATACAACTTCTTATGTCGTATGCTGTAGGCAGGTACAGTGTTAGAAGAATGCAGAGTTCAAGGCCACCCACATCGATCTTGTTTGTGCTCTGTTCTTGTATCTGTCCTAACTCCAGCAAGATCCTTGGGGGTGGGGGTAGGGGGTAGGGGTGGGGAGACTCCTCTACACCTTTGGTTTTCTTATCTGGAGGACTATTTCACACATTGTTGTGGTTTAAATGATGTTGTGATCACACTGATTATCTTGTAAAACACATGGCCCTCTAAGCTTGAATGTATTTCCCCTGTAATTAAGGCCAGCACTTGAAAACAGAAAGGGTGTCATTGCAGTCTCTGAAGTTTCCTTACCATTTAGACCCAAGGCAAAGCAGGGTCTTTGCTGTCAAGTGAATCCAGCTGTTGCTTAAGATTTTCAGAGCATTGGGCAGCACATTTTCAAGGTCTTTCCAAGACACTCCAGTTTGAGTTGGTTTGCCCATTGTCCACGGAGCAATAACACCTCACGACTTCTAGAGTGATTGGCATCAACGTGACCCCATGGGACACATGTCAGGCCACTTCCTTCTGCTGGTGTTGAGACTCTGGCTGGGATCTGTCCTGGCTACGGCTGACACGGGTTTCTGGCTGCAGCCCGTGGCCTAGCACACAGAGCTCCAAAGGAGATGCCCACTTGGTGCCGCTGCTCTGCAATTCTGGGGCACGGGAGTTGTTCCAAGATGGGGTCTCTTGCTTGGGGCTGTCCTCACTGCTGCTACTGCTGCCAAGAGAAAGTACAGTGAGAGGTCAGACACTCCTCTACTCTTCCTTCTGGCTCCTTCCTGGCTCCCCACTCTCCCCTGCCTACCCCCCCCCCCCTGTTGTTTCATTTCACACTTGCCAGGCTACACTGTGGCTTTTGTGGGCCTGGTCTGCTTAGCTGTGGTGGGAACCAGCTCCGGGCACTTCCCCAGTGGTTGATTCATGCTCTTTCCTCTATGCCTAGAGTCCTGCAACTCTCTGAACAGGCCCGGGGCAACTGGGCCTTTATTTGTTTCAGTTTTGTTTTTCTAAAGCACCTCTCATTTAATGAAGAGCTAGTTGCTTGAATTAAAAACAATAACAGCAAGGGGGAAAAGTCAGCCCAGCTTTGCACAGTTGCCATTCTTTTCCTGAATGGAATCAAATAGGAACCACTTGGCCCAGTCTCACCCAACGTTTGGTTAGACTAGAGCATCTCCACTGCCGAGGGGAAGGGATCCTCACAGAAGCCAACTCTGACTATGCTTTGGGAGAATGGGATGTGGCTGTGACAAAGTATGGGACGAAGCCAGGTAGACAGGACTAACTCTGAAAGGCACAGAGGGCTGACTGCTGACAGGCTGGCCTCAGGATTGCTAGGGGCAGCTGGAGTCTGGCTGCCTGGGTTGGAATCTTGGCTCTTGCTGTCACCATCTGTGTGCCTTGTTGCATGTGACTCAATCCCACTGAGGCCGAGTTTGTAAACTGGAAACCAAAACAGTGCCTTGCTCACCAGGACTCACAGGTACCAGTACTGGGTGAGATGGAGAACTGTGAGCATAACTCCCCTATACATGCTCAGTGGATAATGGGAAGTTGACTCTCTGGTGCTGCTTTATAGGAAGCTGTGCCCAGAAGAGACTCTAGGGACCAACCGTTATACAGTAGTTGGATACTGAGGCTCAGAGAATGGGGCCTTTGTTAGAGCTTAGTCACTTCAAAAGCACGCAACAATGGTGTGACTGGGACAATATATGAGGCCACTGGCAGTGGGTCTAACATCTAACACTAATGCACAGACTGACTTAGTGGAGCCCATTCTATATGGAGAGATTCCTCGCTCAGCCTAGACACAGGGGTGTGGGGTGGTGAGGTGCCTTGATCCTGCCTCAACTAGATGATGGGATAGACTTAGACTTCCTAGGGGCTTTACCCTCTCTGAGGGGCAGAATGGGGGGGGCGGGAGTTGGAGGAATGGGAGGAGAGAAGAAAGCGGTAACTGGGATTGGAATGCAAAAGAATAAATTAATAAAAAAGACTGCCTACCTGCTGCCCTGTTGGCCACTGGGCAGCTTGAGCCAAGCTCTCCATGAGGCTTGAACAATTCTCCTGTCTTACCAATTCAGATCAGGCAGTGATGAGAAACACTGCATGTAGGGGAGAAAAGTCTAGACCAGGGGTTCTCAACCTGTGGGTCTTTATCCCTTTGGCAGACCTCTGTCTCCAAAATATTTATATTATGATTCATAACAGTAGCAAAATCACCACAACATGAGGTGTATTAAAGGGTCATAGCATTAGGAAGATTGAAAAGCACTGATTTAGACCTTCTGGAATGTTTATAGGACACCAATATCTTGAGACTAGAGATGCATTAGCGGCAGAGTTTCTTGATGATGCCTCCAAGGACCATTCCTGATCCCCAGGAACCCTCAAACAGGAGGATATAGACATCATCTTTTTTTCTACAAAAACAGCTTGTGCCTAGCTTGGAGTGACAGAAATGGAGTCAAAACAATTCTAGGGCACTGAGTCTGCATGCTGTAAGACACAATGGGTGAGACATAGTATGACCTGCAAGCCAGCTTTGGAAGCACTGTCTGGCTCTCCCGCACTTGTGTGGTCTCAGGGAAGCCATGCCTAAGCCCCTGGTCTGGTTCTTTCATATATAGGATGGCAGAAAATTACACTTATGTTCTGTACAGAGGCAAAGACTCAGTGCTCTTACCACCGATGGGCTTCTGCTTCCAGATATTAAATGCACATCTTGGTGTAAGATGATTGGTGGGAGATAGGCATTTCCCCTTCATGTATTCAGACTTTGGAGTGGCATAATGGTATAGTCACACCCTAAGGGAGGGGAATGGGGGCAAGGGACCTCCACTTGACCTTGGGCAGGCTCTGCTTTCAAGTCATAAGTGTATCTCCTCACCCCCCTCCACGCACATCACACACACACACATTTCATTTACACATGCACGCACACACACATCACACGCAGGCACACAGACACAGGCAAACACAGTGTTGAGATTCAGAACACAAAACAGCCTTTTAGGCTGTCCTACTTGGAGGAGAAGCCTGGGCATTATTTTCTTCTTGAGCAGTTTTACACTTCTGCTGTTTTAAAATGTTAGTGTTTTTAATTAATGCCTTTTTATTGACCCTGTTCTCTCAAGCTCTTGCTCCTGAAGGGCACAGTTTTAGCAACCTAATAACGGAGTAAGCAGTGTTTATCGAGGTCCTTAGATGAAAGCCAGTGCACTATAGGAAATGTGTTTCAGATTTAAGAAAAGAGCAGTGTTACTTTAAGATTCTTGCAAGAATAATCAATATTTCATTTCTTTCAAGTTGCTGGGGGAAGGCTATAGAACTATTACAATACACAGCTTTCCCAAGATACTATCTTTATTTAAAATTGACTGTTGAATACTTTGTAAAAAAAATTACCATTTATGCCCAGACACATTGTGAAGCCCATGATGCATATCACCCAGGCAGAAATGAACTGCAGGTTTGACACAGCTGTGAGTAATACAGACTGCAAGTGCTGCTGTCGGAGCATTGTCTTACCGTATATCAAGTGCCCTGATAGAGTGTTTCTCTAATAGACCTGGGGTTGACACTTCCCCCCCCCCCCCCGTGTCCACCCCTGTGTATTCTGTTGAACCAACCAATTAAGAATAGGAGTTCTTTCCATGCCCATGGGATGGTTCTCCTGGCTCCTGGCCCCCTGCAGCTGTGTGCTCAAACTGCCTGCACATTGGGCGGATAGCATGCATCGACTTGCCTCTGCACACTGGGCACTGAGTCCTCCCCTGGGTGGGAAGGGCAGCTCATTCTCTTGATGCTGGTGCCCATGAACACACCCAGTCTACAGCCGTCTGAAGCTGATGGAGAAGCTGAGCTAAGCCCTCGGGGCTCTGGCAAGTCCACTCCACTATTCCTCCTCCTGTTTTCAGGACCATTGTTTTAAAGATGTGGTTATGGACCTGTCCATCTCAGAGACATTTCTGGGGGTGGGGGAGTTCAAAGTTCAACTAATTTTCATCATAATACAAAGGTGCTACTGGTCCACACTCTTGGGAGTGTGGGGAGAGTTTTGACTTCATAGATGTGCAGTATGGCCTATAGAAGCAGACCTGAAAATTCAGCTGTCAGAATAAGCCAGTTGATACCAACAAGTCTGCAAAATGCAAGATGGTAATATTCTCATCAATTCTTTCCCTCCCTCCTTTCCTCCCTTCTCCCCTCCCCACTTCCTCCATCCTTCCCTCCATCTTTTCCTCTTGTAATCCCAGAACTCAGGAGGCTGAGGTAGGATGATTGTGAGTTTAATACCAGCTCAGTCTCAAAATAATGACAAAAGGAAAATGCACCCCCCACAGAAATCTACATACTATTTATGTAAATATAGAATGGATTTATTCTTTCAAAATGTTCCTCAGTTTAAACTTACAATAAAAATAGGTGTAACTCACACATTTAAAAGTACTGGGTTCTCAATAATTTTTAAGAGTTTAAAGGGTCCTGGGGCCTGACGGTAGAGACCCCTCTCAGGGGAGAGACAACAGACTCTTGCTGCTGGGTCAGGCAGGCAGTGAGCCAGCCACTGGGGCAGGGTGGTCCATCAGGTGAAAACCAGCCATTCATGGTCAAGGGGAGACCTGGCCGTTCTCTGCAACTCATCTCTTTTCCCCTACTGCCTTTCCCCTTGGAACATAGTTAAAAATCTGCTACCACAGACAGTCCAAAGAGCTCACCCACTCTGCTCGGGCAGTGGCAAGGCATCTCTTACCTGCTTTGGCAGGGATGGGGTTCCCAAGAGCTGCCAGGCAGCAGAAGTGGATCGCCCTGCTGGCGCTGGCGCTGGCGGTCTGAGGCTGTCCTTCTGATGAAAGGCAGAGGGTTCAGGGCGCTCAGAGCTGTTCTTCTTTGCAAATCTGCCCTTAGCCGTGACCCTGAGCTGCCCCTCCAGCCTCCTGTTGGATTCTTCAAAGAGGCCCCAGGTTCTGGTAGTGTCCGTAGATGAGGTATTGAGAAGGATGATTTAGCTTCAAACAGAGAGGAGGCGGCTGGGCAGAATAGAGAACATGTGTTCCTGGGTGCTTTAGCCATGGTGGGTTCGCCACCCTCAGAGTGACTCATCTCCTTGAACCCCTGAGGGGGAGGAATTGAGGGAGATGATGAGGAGTCAGAGGAAGGGGTGTTTGCTTCTGTCCACTGGACAGGACAGCTTTCCTGGGCTGGGTTGGACTGCGGATGCCCACCAGGGGAAGTTGGCTTCTTTATGGCTGGAGGGCTCAGTGTCCTGGGGCTCAGAGGTGGGTCATGGGAGCTGAGAACAGCTCGGGGGCCTGACTCGGACAGTCCAGGAGAAGAGGGCAGGCTCTGTGGCCTCCTGTCCCCTTGGGATGCCCATTGTACTCTCGTGGGAGAGGCTTTTTTGACTCCTGGAGGGCTTCTCTCTGGCCCCTTCCTGGATACTTCTGGACAGTGTGGACCTTGTGAAGGTCTGGCCAGACTGGGTTCCAGGGTCTTGCTTTGCCCAGATGTGGTGTTAGTGTGGTGCCAGGGCAGTGTCTTCTGGTGATGCTCAGAGTGTCTTGCAGCATTCTCTGCTTCTGAATGAGTATGAGCCTCACTCTCTGCCACTGGGCTCACTGCTTGCTGGGAGTTCAGGTCCAAGGTCAGCTTTCTGGAATTGCCCACATTCCTGATGATTCCTGGCCCGGTGGTGTCATGCAGCCTCGGGGAGCTGCCTATGCCTTTGCTGGGGAGCAAGTCCATGGGGCCCATAGAGGCTCTCAGCTTGAGGGAAGCCCATGTTTTTCTTGGCATGCTATTTTCTTGCTGCAGCCCTGGTACCAGGGTCTCTTCCACAGAGCTGCCTGTGGCTGGTAGCTCCAGAGCAGTGAATGATTTGTCCATCAGGATTTCCAGAGGTGGTGGAGGGAGATTCTCTAGGTCTTCCCCTGCTTCACAGCTGATGTCTTCCCTTTTGCATGCTTCTGCTGGAGGAAGAGAAGGAAAGGGTGCGGAAGGCCTCCAGCCCATGCCCACTTTGAGAGGCTCTCTGCCTGATGCTGGAGAAATTTGGGGCTTAGGATACAGAGGGGCCAGCCCCCTGTATATAGGAAATCTGGGAGGCATGGCAGGGACTCCCCACTTCCTGAGGCAGGGGCTTGACCCCAAGTTCCTGGAGTTCCTTGGTGTCCTCAGATTCTCATTGGGACTGAAGGTCTCAATAAGTTTTTTGACTGATGTTCTGGTGCAGTAGCCCCTGGTGTCCCATTCAGTGTCCCTGGGAACCCTACTGTTCTTCTCACCACATAGGATGGCATTTGGCAGCCTCTCAGCCTTTTCCTGGCAGGGCTGGTCATGCTCAGAGAGGGTACTACCTCTTTGCAAAATGCTCTTGTCTTGATTGGGCAGAATGCTGAAATTTTTGGTGAGGGAGGCTTTGAATTTGCTCATGGCACTGCTGGGACTCACCTTGCAGTTGGAAGGGGGGCACAGCACTGATGCCCTGGATGGCAGAAGCCGTTCCTTGTTCTGTCCCTGCCGTGTGCCACCCAGGGCATAAAATACCTCCAGTCTCCGACTAAGGTCTGTCTGGACCCTCCTCAGCTCCTGGAGGGTGGGGTCTTCCACATGGCTCTTAAGACACCCCTCTGATTGTGACCTCCTTTGTCTCTCAGGGGTCCTCCTGCTGCCACTGGCTGTGCTAGGTCTTGGAGGGACCATTGTTCTCCCCTCCTCCTCTTCTGCCCAGTCCTGGGGTCTGGAAGGCACAGGAACAAACTTGATCCTTTCACTGATGGCCTCTTTCATTTTCAGAATCATCTCCTGAGCCTGGGGGCTCCTCAGCTTCCTGGAGTATGGCTGAAACAGGCTCTCCCGGGTGGCAGGTGAGGACCGTGGTCTTGAGGATGCTTTCAGTTGCTCAGCGTGCAGATCTGTGCTGCTGACTTCATCTTCCTCCTCTGGGCTGCTGTCTTCATCTTCACTCAGGGAGAGAGCCTCCACCAACCCAGAGCTTTGAGAAAAATGTGTTTTCACAGGGTCCTCAACCCCCAGGGAATCCTGCATAATGCTTTTGGTACCCTCTGGAGGCCTGGAGGTGGCTGCTTCTGGGCCTGTGCTGGAGGCACTAGAGTGTCTGGCGTTGTCCTGTGCTGCAGGCTGAATCTTTGCCATCCCAGGCCTCGACAGTGGACAGCCTTGATGTCTGTCTGAACCTGTCCAATGTGGACCTTCCTGCCAGGCATGCCCTGCCAGCCTGGCTTCCACTTGCCGTGCCGTTCCCGGCTTCCATTCTCCAAGCTCTGTTGCAAAGTCCCAGCTGGTTTGCTTGCCAAGCTTCTCCATGGACTGCACAGACTCATTGTCAGCACAGATGCCACTGTCCTCAGAGCACAAGGGTGGACCCAGCAGCCCAGGGTCACCATGGCCAGTGGTCAGACTCTCTATCTGTCCCAGAGCCCTTAGGAGGCATTCATCTATGCTTCGCTTGGTGCTTAGCTTACCCTCCAGGTGGCTAGCAGTGGAGCTGAGGTAGCTGCTGGAACCCTCCAGCAAGCTCCCAGTGAGGGCAGCCACTGTGCTGTGAGCCACCTGTAGCTTGTTGACAGTGTACTGCAGCAGCTGTTGCAGAAGATCTGGCTGCTCCCAGGGCTTGCCTTTCCCTGATGGCCAGGCCAGATTCCCTCTAACTTCCTGGAGGATCACTTCTCCATCTTTGGAGATTTCTCCTAAGAGTTGGTTGACTTCCTCGAAACACAGCAGCAGGAAGTTGAGCATGGGCTGCAACAGCTCCCGGGTGTGGCTGGCCTGCTGGACCAGATGCAGGATTGCTTCGTATCTGGAAAGGCTGGTGTGCAGGTAGGCATAAGCGTGCTGGTGGGCCTTTACCAGGGGTTCAGGGAAGTCCACTTTGCCTTTTGACTCAGGAGTAGTTTGGTAGCAATGGCCCTGGTTGTCTGAATGATGGCACATTGGCTCTTTGTTCCATTTGGAGGTCTCCTGGGAAATGTTTTTCTCACTCTCTTGCCCAGCAAAATCTGCTTCTTGTATCGTGTGGTAGCCTTCTATCCCAAATGACATGTGCGTAGCTGCGTGGCTTTGTGACTTGTTCAGCTGGAATCTTTGACTTTCTGGAATCAGTCCTTTCATATCTTTCGTGAGCTGACAAAGACCTTCAGCCATGGTTTGGGGCTCCTTGGGACTTGCTGGCTCTTCTGTTGGCCTCTGTCCCAGGTGCAGGTCCCCACCAGGGTCACAGAAGGCAGAACTTTGAACCAGCAAAGGGATGGGACATTTTGGGCTGCCCCGCTGACATCCTGGCAAAATTGCTTTGGGCTTCTTAAAAAATTGAATGCCACTCTTGGCAACACTGTTGACAATGCCATTGTGTGATGGTGTGCACCCCATGGTTCAGCTTGTCACCATCTTCTATCTTCGTAGTCTTTGGAGAATCCTTGGAACTTGAGACAGAAGGCTCTCTGGCTAGTCTATCGGGGCAGCCCAAACTGGTGCACACTCCTAGACTTGGAGCCCACACCACAAGGAAGAGGAAAACATGCCTGTTGTCCTAAGTTTCGAAGCCTCTGCTGTCAGTGAGTAGCGGGATAGTACTGAAGGGCCCCAGGCTCACGGATTATGAACCTGACAGATGTGGATAGCAAGTGGAGTGTTAAGCTTATTAGGTTAATCACACCCAGCCAGTCAGCACTAGGAGTGTTCTAGTATAGAACTTCTCAGCATTTGCTATCTTGGGAAGCAGATTAGTTTTGCACGTGCCCATGCTTTAATTCTGTTCAGATGCCTGCCATAGGAAAACTAGAGAAATGAGCCCTAATTGCTTGGCAAGATGGCGTGGGAAGGAAGTGAAGGCTTGCTGATTATAAATCCTGGAAACGAAGTGACTTTCACAGTTTAATAAGGGCAAACTAGCTGAGGGTTCCAGTCTGCTTTCATCAGGAAGACCCAAACACTGGGCACAGTGGTATGTGCCTGACATTCTGCCGTTCAGGAGGCTGGGGCAGGAGGATTGCTAGCCTGTTTGCTCAGTGAGTTACAAGCTAGCCTGGGCCACCCAGTGAAATGCTGCCTTAAGAAAATGAAAGCAAAGCAAGACAAAACAAGAATACCAGGATAAACAAGATGGAGTCAGAAGCTGGATGGTGGTGATCCCAGCACTCAGGAGGCAGAGGAAGGTAGATCTCTGTGAGTTCAAGGCCAGCCTGGTCTACAGAGTGAGTTCTAGGACAGCCAGGGCTACACAGAGAAACCATGACTTGAAAAAGACCAAAAACAAAAACAAACAAACAAAAACAAAACAAAAAGAAAAAAAAAAAGAAAAAGAAAAAGAAAGAAAGAAGGAAGGAGGAAGCAACAAAGAAAGTGGCATCGGATAGGAGGAAGTGTGCTCTTCCTGGACTGAAGGAAGAAGGTGGGAAAACTCACCATCATGCAAGCTCAGGCCTTGTCTTTAGAACCTGCAGTAAGTCAGGGCTGTGCTCTTCTGTGAGATACTTTCTATTGAATTGTCTTATAAGAAAACAAGCAAATCCTAGGCAGTGGAGTTATGTGTCCCTAAGAACATAATTCTAACACATAACAGTCTTTTCCACCCCCACCCCTTTTACTTTCGAGACAATGTCTCACTATGTAGCCCTGACTGGACTGGATCTTGCTGGCTGTAGATCAGGCTGGCAGTGAACTCACAGAGATTCCTCTGTCCCTGCCTCCTGATTGCTGAGATTAAAAGTGTACCATCACCATCTGGCTCTAATTCCTTTTAAACATCATGTTGGGGAAGTCTAGAGCAATCTACCATCTAACACGAAATTGAAAACTTACTTAAAACATTATTATTATTATTATTATTATTATTAATTATTTGTAGCTTGATTGCAGGGCTCTTAGGTGTGAACTTTGTAGATGACACAACTATGTTTGATGTAAAGATGTTCTAGAGGATAAGGACTTGGCAAAGGGAGGTTGACTTGGGAGAAATTATCATTAACGTTTTATTTTTGGAGACAGAGCTCAGGTTGTCTTTGGGTTCACCAAAATCCTGTCTCAGCCTTCTGGGTAGATGGGAATTATAGGTGTACAACCTTGCCAGCTGAGTTGGGGGAACGTTGGAAATTATTTAACTCTGCTGAAGAAGAATATTCTTTTGTTTTGTTTTAATAAAGATAGGGTCATGCTACATGGCAAGGCTAGCTTGAAACACACAACCCTCCTGCCCCAGCCCCTGAGTGCTGTGATTATAGGTGTGAACCACTGTGCTTGGAAGAGGCCATCTTTAAAATGGAGACAATGGTACCTGATTTGCTGTGCTCTTATGGGGATTAAGTCAATTAATGGTCTGGTAACCTCTCAACTCACTTTATTACTCCCCCTAAGCCCATGCTAGAGCTCTTATAATAGCAAAAGTCATCTGAAAACTCATGGTTTATCAAGGCCTAATCTTTTCTGGAATAGTCTAGAAATGTCTACCAATAGTGTGTTCTGAGCCTTCTGAATCCATCTTGTTTTTGTTCTTTTTTTAAATTTTGTTTTGTTTTGTTTTGCTATCCCCATCTTCATGAAAAGGTCCTATGCTTGGTGCCTGGATGATTCTCTGAGGTTTCACATTGACATTTCTCTACTTTTAAACATAATGGTCCCATCTTTCTTCAGAGGGCTAATATTTAACCATTTCTCATTTTTGGACAACTAGCTTATTGTCAGTTTTTAATTTTTATAATAGAATAAGGAAATTCACATTGTGTATCACCCTGAGGGTGCTGAGACTGTTGTTGGCTTTACCACCTTGTAAGCAGAAAAGACAGAGAAGCCACCTCCCTTGCTTTGAACAAGTGAGAGCTCAACGTCAGTCACAGCCAGTGCCCCAGAGTGCGTTATTTATAAAGTTCCCTGATCTGTTTATTTGAAGCAGAGCTCAAGGGAAGCCCAGCTGAATCAGAGCCTGAGGGTGAGCTATGTTAGACAGTGGGATGTTTTATTTGTCACCTTTCTGGGCTGGTGGGTAAGCACAGACTCTGTGCATGGACGATTCCTTTACACGTTGGGTCTCACATTGATAGAATAGAAAGCTTATCCAAATGATGCTTCATGTAAATCCTGCTCACTTTGGTATTTGGGTGACCCATGTGAATTATCTGTGTGCAAACCTTTGATCTCAATGACAGAAAATATTCCTAAACCGATGAGTGAAATCACAACATGTGCCTTGAGTTTGGCTGTCAGTACTAAGCTTCCATGCTGTTCCCACCCCCACTCCACCCCAATACAAATAGTTCAGGAAACTGTAATATGTTGCCATTCGTTATGCATTAAGACCAACTTTGACCCACTTTTATTTGGGGGTTGTTTCACATGCTTAAAGCCAAACAACTACAACAAGCAAAACAGAACCTCTGGGGCGAGAATGGGAAATAACTGCTCTTTTGGGTAAAACTCACATTTAAACATGTACCCTTTGACTCATCAATTCTCAGAAAAAAAATTCAGGACTATTGAATGTGTCTGTCCACAGAGAAACTGGTATGATAATATTCATAGTAACCATATCCATAACATTCTGAAATTAGAGACCATATAATTGTCAACAGGGAAGAATAAGTTTGCTATTTGTGCAAAAAAAAAAAAAAAATACTGCTCATCAATAAGGGGAGAAAACAAACAAAATACATGCAACATAGATAAGTTTAAAAATGACTGTGATGATGCCAGGGCATGATGGCTCACGATTGTAGCCAGGATGCTAAGGCAGAAATCTTGAATTTAAGTCTCACTTGTTTCAGAAAGGAAAAAATGCCAATTGTGGTGGTGCACACCTTTGATCCCAGCACTTGGGTGGCAGAGGCAAGTGGATATTTGTGAGTTCAAGGCCAGCCTGGTCTACAGAGTGAGGCTATAGAGTAAGACCCTGTCTGTCTCCAAAACAAAAACAACCCCTCTCAAAAAAACCAAACCAAAACAAAACAAAACAAACAAACAAACAAAAAAACTCTTAGCCAGGTCTGTCTATAATACCAGAACTTGAGTGGCTGAGTCAGGAGAATTACTGAGTTTATGGCAAGTTGGGCTACAGAGTAAGTTCAAGAACAGCCTGGGCTACATGCTAACATCTTGTCTCAAAAGAGAGAAAAACAAAGTATAAAAAAATTAAGAGTGAAAGATGCAAGGCTTGGAAGAGTACATATGGTAAAATTCCATTTATATGGTCAAAAGCAGAAGAAACTAACCTATGATTATCGATCAAAAGACTGGGCTCTCTTGGAAGAACTATGGACTGGTTATGGACATGGAAAATTTCCTAGGATAGTAGAAACAGTTTATATCTTGATCTAGGTAGTAATTTTCTAGGGATGTATCCTTGAGTTATACAGTTATTTTGTACTCTTTACCAATACTTCACATATATTCCTAATTATAACAAAGCATTGTATACTTTGTTTTGTGTCAGAGAGAGTTCTAACTATGATGTTGTGATTGGATAAGGGTCCCTGTTTTCATTGCCTGTTGCTATATGAGCATCTTAAAACAACAGATATGATCTACTGTTTCTGTCTTTATTGTGTAGGTCTCTCCATAAAGCTGCTTGAGTGTTCTTATAATATGGTAGCTGGCTTTCCCTGAGAGCAAGGAAGAGACCGTGTCTTACTTCATGAAGTCATTTCACTTTCTCCATATTGTGCTCTTCAGAAGACATTAAGAACAATCACACTCAAGAGGAAGGTAAGCTCTGCCTTCAAGATTACTAAAAATGATGCCAAACTTTGAAATCCAAAACAGACTCACATACTCACATGTAATGTAAATATTATTTTGTGACAAACTTACTCTTTGCCCCTCAATGAGTTAAATAAATTGCATTCAATTTTGGTTCATGTAACCCAGAGTTAATTAGCTAGTGTACTGACTAAGTTTATGTCAAATTGACACAAGCTAGAGTTATCTGTAAGGAAGGAACCTTAGTTGAGAAAATGCCTCCATAATAACGACTGGCTATAGGCATTTTCTTAATTAGTGGTCAATGTGGTAGGGCCCATTCCATTGTGAATGAGGTCACCCTGGGCTGATATTCCTGGGTTCTATAAAAAAGCAGGTTGAGCAAGCCATGGGGGACAAGCTAGTAAGCAGCACCCTCCATGGCCTCTGCATCAGCTCCTGCCTCTGGGTTCCTGCCCTGATTGAGTTCCTGTCCCGACTTCCCTCCCTCAGTGATGAACAGTGATGTTGAAGTATAAGCCACATAAACCCTTTCCTCCCTAAGTTGCTTTTGGTCATGGTGTCCATTGTAGCAACAGAAACCCTAACTAGGAGCTAGCAAGAGATAGTTCCAATGTGGAACAAGTTTTGACCTGAAACTGAATGTAACTTAAGTATTATCTGGAGTTTTATATAGATAGGCT